CATAAAGATCGTTTTCATGAAGACCGTTCGTAACCAACGTAAGCGCGACAATGACTTTCGAACTCTGAGTGAAAGCTGTTCCTTCAGGAGGAAAGACTGAGGTCGAACCTCGGCTGGCGATTCCTATTTCTCTTACATCTTCTGAGAGCCTCTAGCAGGTGAGTCAGGCAACGTCGACGTCCAAATAACGTAGAAAAGGAATCGTACCTTTTCAGAGGCACCTTTCGGCCGCCGGTCATTTTCGACATAGTTGCGGGTGTGACGAATTCACGAGGCAAGGAGCCCAACGACGACGACGACGATGACGACGCACAAATGCTGGTAGCAAAAGCGACAGAGCATAGAAGATGGCCGTCGATGATGGCCGAACGCTGCGGGAAGCGATGGGCTGTCGTCCGATCAATGGCCCTCCTAGAAGCCAGGCCAGCACGAACGCAGCAGATCCGAACTTGGTAAAAAGTTCCTTCAAAGTCAATATTTGTTATTTACAAATAAAATAATTTCGGCGCTAGGAAGACGACGATGTCGAAGGCGACAGGCGACCGCTGACGATGACGGCGGTGGCGCAAACGAACTTATTCACACTTGGAACGGCGAAGACGGAGGCGGTGGCGGCCGTATACCGTCCGTAACAACAAATGAACATAACACATGCAACAATCAATCGCCACGGTGGTGGTCATCATTACATGGCCCATGGGCACCGAAACTGACCGATCCGATGTAAGCAAGAGGCAACGGCCGAAAATCGATCATAACTCTACCATAAATGACGGACGACCGTGCGAAGAGCTACTGTGTGATGTGTCCTCGTCCGTCGTTGTCCAGCGCTAGGTCGGCCCAATGACGCTGTCCAGTTGGGCACTCCCCGTCATTGACACGGATCGTGTGGCGACGCGCAATTAGTCCCGACAAAACACCCATGGGGTCAACAGCTCGCGATGGTCATAAATAATTAGACATCTTCCATAATGGAAAATCGATGGCCTCGGCAACTTATGAATCCGTGACGGAAGACGCTGTCCCTCACATTCAGCCGCACATTCAGTCTTTTTGAAGGACGAGACGACGTCCGGTTTCGACCGCCTGCGTTTGACTATTTAAAGCTAGCAAGAGGACGTGCCAGTCACCGCTGGTCAAAGTTTCTAGAAGAATCTTACGATGGAGCTTACACGTCTTCCGCCTGAACGACCTCATCGAGCTTTTCTGAATGGAACAGCCGTCTTTGGTAAACACGTCGTTCCGGTTTAGCTGCAGTATCAATAGTCGTTTAGAAATGAACACGCACACCGTGGAAGCATATCGGCACGGGAATTTACCCTTGGCTTTAAATATGAAGTTTTTCATGAAAGAAATCACCCATCCTTAGAAAAAAACGTTTCGAACATCAGGCCAATTATTTATAGTGGCAAGAAACGGCTCAACATGAGGGATGGTGAAAATGAGAATGATGGCAGCAACCCAGAATAGAACGGAAATTTTCTGGTGCCTGTGTGAAGTATGGAAAAGCAAAAATAGGGATCCATGCACCTTGGTGAACATAAGTCCTGATGTTCAGCCTAGAAATATCGTATGGACTGGATAAACTCTGTCGCCCCTGTTGCCAAAGAACTGCTTAACCAGCAGCACGGACAAATATGCCACCTTTCTGTTCCAAGCTGCGAACCAGAGAACCATTTATGGAAATCAACCCTGTCCACCTTGAAAAAGGTCCATGAGACACGAGCCAAAACGGCGGTACCGGTTAATCGTCTGTCTGACCAAATTGTTCGTGCTGTGTATGAATAAACCGTTTTGTCATTCAGCAGGAATTAACAACAAAAATTTCATTCTGTCTAAATTAATAGCAAAAGCGGCTCGAAGTAAACTCATCATCTGGTTGAAGTTATCCGGCGTTCGAAAACCCGAAAGTGGGGTGTGAGGTTGTTCCTTCCTCAATACTACTCATAGAAAGTGTTCTTTAAGGATATATGACAGCATGAAACTATGATTTGGGCTTTCTCGCCGGTTTTTCACGTTCTAGCCATTCAAATATTATTATTATTCGTTATGACATTTCTTACCACTTCGACATCAGCATCGTTATTCTATTCTTGTTGCATGCATAAGATATTTTTGTTTTTCAGCAAAACAACTTGCACCTATTCTGCTGAGAAACATGTCCAAATCGATAGGCTGTTATGCCTTATTAAAATTTGAATCTGTCTTACCATTATGCTTGTTTCTCTTCATTTTATTGCATGAGTCATCCTTCTTTCCCGGCGTTATTCAACTGTCTTTAGAAGGCCGTACAACGGTGAGAAAGTTTGTCTCTACTGCTTCGATGTTTATATGGGGGATATCCTCAATACTTCCGTTTGAATTGTACTGAAAAATGTCCTCCTCTTAGAACATATGCATTAAATGACAGAAAGATCTGTCATTTTCCAGCTACCATTGCCTCTTTTAGGTTTCAGGTTTTGTGGCAAGTCTTGACAGTTACGACAGTCGCCCTCGACGATACCTCACTCTGTCGTGGGATTTGTTGTTTTATTCTTTGTCGTTCTCTGTCCTTGAACTTAAAGGTTGGATTTGTACAGAGCAAAAGTGAGTGCCTATTACAAACCTAATAAAGATATTTCAACCAAGCACATCGTTAGTTAAACTCTGCAGTTCCAGGCTTAACTAGCTTCAGATTAAAAATAACAATAAAGCATAAAATGACATGTCATCTTCCTTCGCCATCGTAGGTTTCATTAAGATACTAGCAGTATAGCAAATTTTCCTTTTTCAATGGAATTGGTCCATAATCACGATAGAGGATATTCGTCCGGTTAAAGGAAAAGCAGTTTTTTGCATCACTGAGGTAATGCTGTTTCGATGCGACAATTTGGCGTTTCTAAAGTATCTGACTGGCTGGCGAAGAAGACAGCGCCGGGTAATTTAGACTGAACCTGCATATCATTTCGATGTACATGAAAATCGATTTCTTCCTATCTTTGACTGATTTAGTTCGAACGTCCACTCCTATTCACCAAAGGTATACTCGCTACGAGAAGCTGTGGGCCAATATAATGAGAGAACGAAGTAATGCAACTAAAATATGATAGTCCAAGCTGCAAGCTGCCTACCACTGCAAGTGAATTGCAGACGACTGACGGAAACACTACCAGAGACAACCGACATAACGAAGAAGGAAAGAAAGCGGAACAACAGGCGAAGAAGAAGATGGACAGAAAAATGGAAAAGATTAATAAGAAAAAAATGAAGAACGGTATCAAACTAAAGTGTTCAAATACCCAGAGCGGTGTCATACCTCTGTCCATCGAGACATCTAAAAGCAACTGAACAATGCGAAATCGAAATATAACCCGGTGCAGTGACTTCTACAGTATTGTCTATGACAACTTGTGCAAATCAATATAGATGGCTACAAATTATGAATCTTAAAAAAGAATAATGGGAACAGGGAAAAGAAAAGGCTGAAAAAAACAAAGAAGAAGCGAAATGAAAAAGCAGCAGGGTATAAGCGCAAAGTTCCGCATAGACACTAATAATTCTACTTAAGAAGAATTTGAAATGCGTACATGCCGTACATTTGTACTGACGTTAATTCATGCACTGAAAACTTCCGAATAACGTATTAAATTTATGCGATAGCATATAAAGAGTATCTGGATGCGAGATGCAGGCACTCAAGTACCATGGAGTAGTCGCCTACTTAAATGGCCCCGTACGGGACGGGTGGTGCAATACGCGGTGAAATCTGGTCTTGGAGGAACTATGGGTGTTTCACATTTCTGAAATCGCCTCTTTTACAAAAAAACAACTGAAGTATCATACTGTCAAACGAGTCTGTAAAACATTCTGATTATAAACTTTCTCTTCGCCTGATACCGTCGCAAAAAGTTCATTCAATTAGCAGTGCGACTGTTTTGCAAGTTAACGCTTAATTGAATTACCGAAAAACGCGAGTAATTTCGGATAGGATATACTCAACAGTGAGTGATAAAACGAATGACAGGCGAAACTGAGCAAAAACGACAAATGTCCACCTGTTGGACATGTGCTAGTCCAATGTTGCTTAACAGCTAGAGAAAAACTGAAACTGCCGTCGTAACTAGCGAGTCGCTTGCCTCAGCGGTGATGTGCGTTGGGAACTCAGTGGCCCACAGCCTCCAATCACGGCGATCAAGGATCGTGTGGCGCCATGCACTCCACACTAAATAACTTTTGATCACGATCAGGATAGGTGACAGCTGGAGCGTAAGAAGTATAGATCGATCGTAATTGAACAGCTACAGTCTCCGTGAGTCTGCGATCATAATAATAAGATCGTTTCAAGCTTGAACATGTTCTAGTTGCACTAATGATTTTTGAGGAAAAATCTAGAACCGTGTTTGGTTTACACTTAGAGATACTCAGAATGGAGCGTTCTGACCGCAAATCTAGCCGAATACCCTCGAGTGGTCAGTCAGGGCTTGACCAGTGTTGCATTTACTGCTGAATTATACACCTTCACCAGCCTTCACCGTCACTTGTTGTCTTCAGTAGCTTCTTGGTTTCATGTTGTTACCCCTGAAAGGATGTCATTTATTAAGATAGCTTAACAGAACCACTGAACTGAATCAGAATTTTAGCTGGAAGAACGCAACGAAGTTGGAAAATCGTTTATTGGTAATCTACTTTGATGCGTAAATGTACTTACACCTGTATGGAAGTAATCTTACAGTCGGACTTAACAGTAGCATCGAAACTTTTTTTTGATATGGCCATCTGTATCACGATTATCGGAGGATATATGTAAGCCGAGAATCAATGCAAAAATATTTCACAGTGGTCAGGTCATTTAGCAGTGATTGGCGTGATGGAACACCAGATCGAGAAATTTATTCTCCCTCATCGGTCACCCACAATCAACTGAAAGACAATCTCTGTCAGCTCGTGATTTACCACAAAATCCCTGAAGACCATGCTGAACAACAGGTTAGGTTTGTGGGATCATGCAGTTTCGGTGTTTTTAAATATACGTACGGTATCTTAGTACCTGCTGAAGCCAATTATGCTGCCTTGCCTCCAACAATGAAAACAATAAGCATCGCCAGCGTGATCGACGCATCGTACCGCTTATCACTTACTATAGCCCGATAACATGACTGGTGAAAAAAGCTTCCGTTATTGCAGCGATCCGTGATGCTGCTTGTTAGGATTAGCGAAATCTCCGTTGAAGAAATTGCTTGCTGCTTAAAGGATCAGAATCGCATTAGTCTTTCTTTGCACGCGAGACGTCAGTGCCACATAACGGGAACCATAGCCGGCTCAGTTTCAACATCCATCCCAGCTTAGACAGAACTCTACCGGCAATCAACTGCATTGTTCCTCATAAGCACACTTCGGGCGTGCTGGATCTACAGGACCAATTGTCTGTACATAATTTTCTTATAGGCCATTTTTTCTGAGCGCATAATTCCTCCAAGATCAGATTTCACAGTGTATTACGTCTTTTCTTTGCTACTAGTTGTCTGGGGGGGACATTTAAACAGGACCAGAAGCTCCGTGGTACTTGAGCTGAGTATCTTTGGTGCCAGATGCATTTCCTGTTGTTTTATCTGCTAGAGCAACTTTACGCTTATCACCTTAAGTGTCAGGAGCT